GCAGCCTGTTCCAGTGTTCCGTCACCCTCACTGAGAAGAAGTTTCTTCTCAAGTTTAAGTGGAACCTCTTGTGTTCCAGTTTGTACCCATTACCCCTTGTCCTATCATTGTTTGCCACTGAGTAGAGCCTGGCTCCATCCTCGTGGCACTCCCCCTTTATATATTTATATACACTAATAAGGTCACCCCTCAGTCTCCTCTTCTCTAAACTATAGAGACCCAGCTCCCTCAGTCTTTCCTCATAAGGAAGATGCTCCACTCCCTTAATCACCTTAGTTGCCCTGCGCTGGACTCTCTCCAGCAGGTCCCTGTCCTTCTTGAACTGAGGGGCCCAGAACTGGACACAATATTCCAGATGCGGTCTCACCAGGGCAGAGTAGAGGGGAAGGAGGACCTCTCTCGACCTACTAATCACCCCCCTTCTAATTACACCCCAGGATGACATTGGCCTTCTTGGCCACAAGGGCACAGTGTTGGCTCATGGTCATCCTGTCGTCCACCAGGACCCCCAGGTCCCTCTCCCCTACACTGCTCTCTAACAGGTTGTTCCCCAACCTATACTGGAACCTGGGGTTGTTCCTGCCCAGATGCAGGACTCTACACTTTCCCTTGTTATATTTCATCCAGTTATTCCCTGCCCAACTCTCCAGCCTGTCCAGGTCTCGCTGGATGGCAGCACAGCCTTCTGGCGTGTCAGCCACTCCTCCCAGCTTAGTGTCATCAGCAAACTTCCCTCATCTAAATCGTTGATGAATATATTAAATAATACTGGTCCCAGTACTGACCCTTGAGGCACTCCACTAGATACAGGCCTGCAAGTAGACTCCGCCCCATAGACTACAACTCTCTGGCTTCTCTCCTTCAGCCAGTTCACAGTCCACCTCACTACCTGATCATCTAGTCCACACTTTCTCAATTTAGCTGTGAGGATGCTGTGGGAGACTGTGTCAAATGCTTTGCTGAAGTCAAGGTAGACCACATGCATGGCTCTGCCATCATCCATCCACCGTAGAATTCCAGTTCAATAAATAGAATAGAATAAAATAGAAGAAGAGAATATAATTCTTTAATTCTATTCTATAATTCTAACTATTCTATGATTCTAAAATGTGAAGGTTATCACTATCTAAGTATCAAGTCTGAAAAGCTGATGGTATTTCTGCTTTTATTCAGCCTAGATGATGTCAAACTGTCGTAACCTTTATTTACATTATACTGTTAAATACTTGTGCAGTTGTTTGAAAGCTTTTACTTAATATTTCTGCCCATACAATTTTTCTTAGTTGTAGATTTATTTTGATTATAGTTAGTGTCAAACATACATCATGACTTGGATGTCTCTCAAATCCTACAGGCAATCTTACACAACTTCGTGTTGCCTTGTGCAGTTATTTTCTTCCTTTTTTTAAAGCATGATTAGACGTTTTATCAGGTTTGAATAAAAAGATTGCTGTAACTATTTCTCTAACTTTTGGATAAAAAAATAAAATTCTTCCAAGGCCACAAAGCTCTTCATGAAAGAAAATCTTTCTGGTATTAGGCCAAATGCATTGTAAGAGGTAGTCTGTTTCTGGAAACCATAGAATGAACTACAGAATCATAGAATCATAGAATAGTTAGGGTTGGAAAGGACCTTAAGATCATCTAGTTCCAACCCCCCTGCCACTGGCAGGGACACCTCGCACTAAACCATGTCACCCAAGGCTCTGTCCAACCCAGCCTTGAACACCACCAGGTATGGAGCATTCACAACAAGCACTTCAAGGTCCCTCTGGATGGCACTCCTTTCCTCCAGCATGTCAACTGAACCGCACAGCTTGGTGACATCAGCAGACTTGCTGAGGGTGCACTGAATCCCAGTGTTCATATCGCTGACGAATGTTGAACAAGACTGGTCCCAACACTGATCTCTGAGGGACACCACTCATTACTGTGTTCCGACTGGACACTGAGCTATTGAGCACAACTCTTTGCATGCAGGCATTCAGGCAGTTCTATGAAAGCTAAGAAGAAACAGTGTTACCTCTATGCACTTTGTATGTAGTCAATGGAATTCCATTTAAAGATGTTCTCTTGGTTTATTTGGGGTTTGTGTTACAGTCTTACATGGTATTATTTTGATATGTAAAAAAAATATTGCTTATCATGTATGTGATTTATTTCTAGTGTCTGAAGTCTAAGGCACTATTTTTGCCAGATAGTGTCTCCAGGTAGTGTCTAAAGATATGCTTTGGTGGATATTTTGGCATTAAACTTCATCCACTTTTACAGAGCCTGATCAAATTCAGGGCAAAGTTCCTGAAGCTGGCCATTGCCTTTGGTCTATAATAGCCACTTTGCTTTCAGTTTAAGTTATAGTATGTACTGTACCCAGAAAAAGATGGAGAGGGAATATGTGTTCTTTGACTGGAAAACACAGAAGTACTCAGTGGATAGCAATAATATATATACATATATATAAACACATATATATATTATGCTATATATATTTTATATATATATATATATAAATAAAATTTCAGAAATACTCTTCCTTTCCTTTATGTTGTAATATTTAGAAAAGTCGGGGTGAAATAACACTGGGACAACAGCTGGGAGGAGGATGGCATTAGAAAATGGAAATATTATCACATGTAAACAAGATACTTCCAAACGGGGAAAAAAAGGAAAGGCAAATGAGAGCAGATGGAGTACACAAGTAAATGTAGACAGTAGTATTAATGAATATACTTAAGTCTGGCATGTTAGAGTGAAATAACAATTCCATAGCCCAGTGCTGTGTTTTTTGCCCATTATAGCAATGCTGCAGGGATATCCTGCAGTCAGCTAAGTAGCCCACAGTTAATTCCTCCAGTAAAGAGATTGGGTGTAGATTATTTATGGATTATTCAGTCTGAATGGAGCAAATGGATCAATAGAAATTTGTTGTGGGGGAAAGGGGAAAAATAATACCTTATTAAGTTTTAATATGTAAAATAATATAGGAATGAAAACTGGTGTTCTAGTTAGAAACATGAATAAAGACACTGTTTGTGTTTCTTTGAAAAATACCTAGAAATGAACAATTGTAGCTCTTGCACATTTTCTCAGCATAACATCATTTCAGAATTCACAACAAGGTCATTTCTATTCCAAGAGCAGTAATTGCCTCTGTAGTAGAAGCAACAATTTCTGAATTTGTTCACAGAAATAAAATACAGACTTTGAGGAAAGTTTGTTTAAAAATCATGATTAATAGCACAAAATGAGATCTAAATTATTTTGGTAAACTTTATGGGATAAAGGATTTTATTTGTAAATTAAGCTTAAACATTGAGCTTAGAAGGAATGAAAGATAAATGCATTCTTTTGTTTATTTTGGCATGAACGTGTTATGATTAAAAAGTTAACACTGTAATATTTTCCAGTTCAAATAGAAATTTGTTAGATCGCAAAATTCTGTTCCATTACCCCCCCACACACACAACGCACACACACACACAAAAGAATGAAGACATCTGTCAATGCTTTTTCACTAAACTACATACTGAAGCCTTCTAAAGTTGAAAAAATCATCCAAATAATTAGTGCTATTTATGGTTTGGTCTGCAATTTAAACAAGACTTACTTTTTAAGACAGTTTAGTATTTCTACTTAGGAAAATGCTGAATATGCAGGAGGAAAAAATTGACACGTTGTCAAGAGAGAAATGAAAATTCTGGCTCTGATTTGGTGTTGAAGATATAACTGCACCTTCTAGCTCTGGCACAATTCAGGGTGGCTGTGGCAAACTGGTTAATCTCTCTTTGCATGAATTTCACCTTCTGAGACATCATTGCTTACTAGTGTTTTCTTAGATACGATAGCTGTGGTTTACTTCTGACTTCACAGACAAAGATGTATCATTAAGAGAAAAGTTTAATCTGTTAAATTATTTAATCTGTTAATGTCACTTGCCCCTTCATCATCCTCTCTTTAGCCTTCCTGATATAGCTCCGTATCGCAAGCACACAATGACAGGTCATCTCATTTGCTTCTATAGCCCCTCCTGCCCCCACTGTTTTAGGTGCTGCAGACAATCTATCTTCAAAGGTGTGCAAAGGAAAACACTAAAGACAAAATGGTGTCTGAAGGCTAGGAACTTCCTAGTCCTTAGATCCTTAATTTCTATTAAATCAATATTAATTGGCTTAGCCAAATTTTAGATTCCAGAGATCCTTCAGGAACTTTTAGTCAGTTGGAAAATACGTATTTCTAACACAGTTAAGCACAAGTTTTTTAGAGGTGCTCACATATGTGCATACGTTACCTCCTCTTTGTCAACTTGAACACAACAGCTGCCATGGAATAAAAGTGGTTTCTTTGTGTGAATGACTATGGTTATACTGTTCTTATGAGAGAAAAAAAATGGCTCTACACTAGAGTAAGGTATTCAATATTAAAGAGATCTTCAAGGTACTAAATACTTCTCATGGTACTGAAGCCCATGTTGCAAAATTTCACCAGCTCCTGTGAAATGCAGCTTACACAGAAGTCTGGGAACTTGGTAGCTATCAACTGATGAAATACCTGTTAAAAATAGAATCTTGCTTTGTGGCAATGAATCTAGGGTCTGCAGACAGAGTAAAACTTATTTGGAAAGATTGTACATGCCAGTCAACTATAAATCGTGTGAAACTGGTCAGGACATTAAAAGTATTAAGTGTTACATTTTGTATCATTATGTATTCTGGGAGGTGATTTCAATTGTGGCTTGAAATAAAAGTAATATCAATGTCTTTAATACTGGCAATAGGATAGGAGGCTTGCAATCAGCTCAGCACAACTATAAATCTTGTCTTGGTTTTCATTATGTTTACAATATACTTATAATAACATAGCTCACATGATTTCTATAGTTCCAAGTTCGTATATCTACCCATAGCCATAGTGCATATGGCTATGCACTACCCTGCTAGTGACTTGTACAGAGCACTCAAGGAGTTGACTGAAGTGTGTGTTGTCATTTACGTGTTCTACAGGAAAGATGAAAGGAAGAAAGAAGGGCTGTTCCTTGCCTTTAACCTTTATCTTGCTGTTCATCTGTACCACTGGGCATGCAACTACTGACTTAGATGACAGAGAAGATGACGATGTCCTGGGTAAGATGTTACAAAAACATCACGTTTTCTCAAACAACAAAACCCCACTATGTTAAAATGCACTGTAGATGTAATTCTGTACTTGACAATAGGTCTGGGAAATGTTTGAAATTGGAACTAGGCTAACAATGCACTGATTTCTAAGAGGGAGATTCTCAGAATTTTGCATTATGCTCTAGAAAATCGTCTTCTATACTGGCTTCTGTTTCCCATGCTTTTTGGAGCTTCAAATCCTATCAAACATTGTGCTAGATATCAAAATTATTCTCTTACAGCTCTACTTTAGGACCCATGGAAAAGTTCAATGTTTAGGGAATGATTAAGATCATACAGTTAGTGAATTCAGGTTTTATCTCCCCACACCACACAAATGGAGCAAAAATGGGATGAATAACATTGCAGATCAATGTTACTCTGTCCTGTGTACAACTCTCTCGAGTCACAGTTAATTTGCAAAGCTTGGCCTAAAGATGCTGTAATTACTACTCTGGCCTTTTTTTCTGTGATTTGAAGAAGCTCTTTGTGATTTGAAGAAGCTCTCCAAGTGATTTGCTGTTGCTGGATAAATGAAAACTCACCAGTTAAGAGATTTTGTTAAGAAAAATAATGTCAGAAGTGGGACTGTTAGAACTTAGAAGGTTCTCTGATTCTTTCCATTTGTAAGATCATTCTTTTCTTTCACTTCGCTGAAATTAAGTAGGGTGGATCAAACTTCTCTACTAGATATCATTGTGAAAGATATATCAATTTACTCCCAAGCAATTTTGAGAAAGCAAAAAGACTTTTGGGGCCATACCAAAATGTTCTTCTTTCCTTTGAGAAAATGATTTAAAACTGATCTCTTTCTTAAGCTGCAAAGAACTGTGCAGTGGATACTGCTCCCATTTGACAGGTTTGATTTTGAAGCCTAACTGGGAATGCAGCTAAGGGGAGCCCTTTTTTGTGTGTTGTCACTATACTTAATATTTCCATGTCTTTTTCAATTTCCATCCAGGTTTTTTCTCATTATCAGACTTTTGCAGCAGTGTTCCTTGAAACAAAAATATTAATTAAATTATGCACAATCAAGGCTATACTACAAATGAAGGTAGTGCTCTAGAACTGTGTCACAATTAGTCTCTATAGTTTAAGATATGCGCTGTTCTGCATTAAGCATATGCTTAGCATGTTGCAGAGTCAAGATTGTTTCATACAGAATAAGTCTATTTCTCTTTAACCCTGAACTACATACACTCCCTTCTTGTTTGAGGGCAAAATCACACGTAACTTTGTCCTGCAATTCAGCTTTATAAAAATCCTTATCTTAAGTTTTCAGATCACAAAGACCAAATTGTCTTGCTTGCTAAAATAACACACTTCATCATCAGAACAAGAAATCTGCTGGATTAATTGTTTTTCTTCTTTTTACTTTCTTTATGAAAGACAGTAAGAAAATAATCTCAAAGAAATTAAATATTTTTGTTGGTTTTTTTTGGGGGGGGGAATTATTTTATCACTGTTTATTTTACAACCAGTTACTCAAGATAACTCAAGATGCCAATAATTGATTTAGTATGAGGAACAGTTCTGAACTTTTGAGTTTGTATTCAAAAGTAAAAAACAAACAAATGTGATGCTTAGAAATTAAACTAGGACCCTATTTTTGCAACTACTGATGACTCTGTAGTAGTGTTTAAAAAAAAAAAACTTTTCAGTACTCTCTATAAAATGATTAGGTTGTTGCTAATTAAAATTCTATTTGTGGTTTCTTAAGAGTGAAATTCTGGTCTGAATGTAACTGTAGCAATTTTGTATGCTGCAATTTCACTGATAGCATTTATTTTCTGAGTTAGATGGTTATGAGAAATTGACATATTTTACCCTCTAATTCAATAAATTTCAGGTATTAAAGGATAAAGTAAGTAGTGTGCACCATTATTATAGTAATGTCATACTTTTTGATCACATTGGATACCACTGCTTTGTGAATATGATGGGATTTTTTGTCTATTAGTATTTAAATTACAGTAATAATTAAGGTTGCAAGTCAAGTACAATGGGATACAAAAGGATTTTCAATTTGCTAACTTCTGGCAAAACATGTCATTTTTCCACCAATAAATAAGGGTAATAGCAAAAATAAAAGGTATAAAACTAACTAGTGTATGTATGTTGGTCAGTAATACCTTATGTGGTTGGGAGTGCTTTACTTGGTGTTCCAAAGCCTGAAGAAAATGACTCACAAGTTGAATGTGCATTTTATTCGTATGTGAAATTTTATCAAGAATAAATGTGACTGCTTAAAGAAGGGGTAGGAAACACATGGGTAGGAAGAGCACTGAACTGTGTGCCGGTGGAAAGCTGTCAAACTGATAAAGACGGGGAGAGAAGAAAGGGGTATTCCTTAGTGGCAAGGTGTTTAGTATTGATATCACTTATCAAAGAGAAACATTTATAATTGAGTTGCAAATTCTACCATGTGAATGACAATAAATGTGAGAATGGCTGTGCTATGTAGGAACAGTCTTGGCCAGTATCCTGTTGCTGGCATTTGCCAAAAGAAGACTGAAAGAATGGAGGAAGAAGGCAGTGACATAAAATCTAAGTTCATGCTCATTGTGAGCCATTTCAACAGCATTACTTTGCTCTTACCACAAACTATGGAGTGGAAAGATGATAGTTAAAACAGAGCTTTAGTGCTGTTAGTGTCTTCTGTTATAAAAACCTATGTAACTGGTGTAATGAAGCTATTATATTAAAAAATCAAGGAGGAGGGGGAGAAGGAGAGGAGGTTTTGCTTTGCTTTATTTTGGTTTTAGTATGGCAAGTAATAACTTTCATGTGACAGTGAGCATCAGCTGTAACCATTAGTTAACGTATTTCTAATAAAACAGACTCAATTTTCTTGGTCTAGGGTAGTACACTGCTATATTTATATGGATTTTCCAAGTTTCTCTGGACCAGATACCTAAATCAGATGAGTAATAAATATCCAACAGTGCTAGGTTCATTGTGGAGGGCTAAATTAATTTTCTTTTTAAAATAACAAATGCAAGATGCTATACTTAAGAAGGAGAACATGTTGAACTTCATAAGGTTCTTCTTAGCCCACTTGTCCAGCCTATCCAGGTCTTCCTGCATGGTGGTTCTTCCATTTGAAGTGTCTACTTCTCTACTCAATTTGGTACCATTGGCAAACCTCTTGGTTAGGTTACACTTGATCTCATCTTCCAGATTACTTACAAAAACACTGAACAGTGTTGGGCCCAATATCAAACCCTGGGGGACCACACTTTTGACAGATCTCCAGTTAGAAAAGGAGCTATTCACCACCACCTTTGGGGTGTGGCCAGTCAGGCAGTTCCCCACCCACTGCACTGATCACTTGTCTACGCTGTAAGACACCCGTTTTTCCAGGAGGAGGTTGAGGGAAACTATGTTCAAAGACTTGGGGAGATCCAGGTAGATCAAAATAAATTGGCTATATATATGGTATTAGTCTGTCTGTACACTGAAGGAAGTACAAAAAGGTTTAATATGTAAGAAGGAATATTTAGGCTGTATATTACAAAACAGGACTATCTTGCAAGAAGGGTAGTAGACAGGGAACTGACTGCTTCAGGTGGCTGGAAAGTTTACTTCACTGGATTTATTTATTTATTTGTAAAGAACAATTTGGACAGCTGTCAGGAAAGGTCTCAAGGTATTTATTCCATAGAAATATGCCAAAAGTCAAATCTAAAATTCCTTAAACTTCCTTAAAATTCCTTCCAGTTTTAGCTTCCCATGTTCCTACTGGAGAATATTTAGTGACCTTCCTGACAGACATTTTCCCTAAATGTCATATCCTGTGCTCTTCACACAGGACCTAAAATGTAGTAGTAATAATTTGTTTCACTGTTCAAGAGCAAAGAAGGAGTCCTTATACTGAGAATTAGTTTTCTTGAGGTATATTTCATATGAAAAATTAGTACAAGCAGATTTTGATTTTTTTTTTTTTTTTATCATCTCCATGAGTTAAGTTTTCCCAGGTGTAAAATAATGGGGAAGAATTCTTTCACTGTTCCCAGACACAAGAATGATTCAGTTCCCATGAATCCCTTTGAGACTTCTTTCTTCAGAGTCACTTGGTTATTGTTTGAATTGGAGGGTTTGGCACATGGGGGTTATAAAGGGTACGGATTTTAGTCAACACACATTAACTTGATAGCACTCCTAAGAAAATAAACATCTGATAGCCAAAAAGTATGACACGGCGTTGTGGTTTAAGCCCAGATGGTAACTCAGAACCACACAGCTCACTCCCCTCCTTCCTCCTGCCCTGCTCCTGGAGGGATGGGGATGAGAATCGAAAGAATGTGAATCCCACGGATCGAGATAAGAGCAGTCCAGTAACTAAGGTATACAAAACAACTACTGCTACCACCAATAATAATGATAATGATAAGGAAAATAACAAGGGGACAGATTATAAAACTAACAGGGGAAAAAAATAAACACAAGTGATGTAAAATACCACCACAAAAATGCTCACCACCTGCAGACCAATACGCAGCCCCACACAAGCAGCGATCTGGCCTTCTGGGTAATTTCCCCCAGTTTATATACTGGGCATGAAGTGCTGTGATATGGAATACCCCTTTGGTTACTTTGGGTCAGGTGCTCTCTCTGCTTCCTCCTGGCTTCCCGTGTCCCTGCTCACTGGCAGAGCATGAGACTGAAAAGTCCTTGACCAGAGTAGGCATTACTTAGCAACAACTAAAACATCAGTGTGTTACCAGTACAGTTCTCAGACTGAAGTTGAAAACAGCCCTGCACCAGCTACTAAGAAGCTAAAAATGACTGCTACAGCTGAACCCAGGACACACAGTATTTATGTATGCAGCAGATGTCAGTATATCTGACTGACAGTGTCATTGTGACTGCAGAGGAAAGGCCTCAGGAGGTAAGCAAAACAAGGATTTTGTTATGTGGGTTTGATGTGAAATAGGTTAGGAGTTGAGACCAGAAAGTTCCTAAGATAAACTGTACTAAGCCATTTGTTCATCATCTTTGTAGTTTTGCAACTATGCTTGCACACTCTTTCTTTTTTGATAGTCCACAACGGTGTTGTGGCATAATGTAGAAAGCAAAATGAGCTGACATAACCTTATGTCTGAAATTCCAGTAGTTAGGAAACCTAGTAAGTTTTCACAACCTCCTCCTTGACTGAACTGAGGTCACTAACACAGGTCATGCGGATTTCATTTCTTGTATTTCAAGGAAAATAATGTGTTTATAAACCAGTTGCCATCCCTCACCCCAACCATATTTCAGTTGGATCAGCTTCTGTAGAGCCCTGAATGTGATTTTTACCATTTCAGGAGTTGTTCCACAAACTTTGATGTTATGAAGCCATTTTTTTCCCTGCTACTGAATGGGGGAATTCCAAAGTTTCATTTTGCAGTGCAGTATCATCTCAATTTTCAATGTTGAGCCTTTTAAGTCCCTTCCAAAGGATTCCCAGACCTGGTGGAGAACTTTAAACCTTTGAGGACCAATTTGGAATCTCTTGTGACTTCTAAATCCTAATTCTTTGTGGACTCAGGAAGATTCAGATAAGGAAGCTGGCAAGAAATGAAAGTCAGAAATGCAAGCAGAGTTCTATAGGAAGTTTACTGAATCTAATGACTCTTAAAAATGTTTCTTTTAACTCATTTGCATTTCCTGTTCAATAATAGGAATAATTCAATAAAAGTCTTCAATAATATTTTCAAATTCCTGACTTCAAATTCTGGAAATAAAATTTCACTAGTGAGGAAACAGTCACAAACTATTTTAGGGACTGAATATTTAATAAGAGTTTTGAAAATAGTAATTGTAATCTGTATTTTAACACCAAATTGTCCTTTTTTTGGAAAATATAATAGTGTGCTACAATTTTTGTGTGGATGACAATTGTGTAATAAAGGTTGTTAATTTTTTTAGTATTTGAATGCTGAAATTTTAGTGCTGAAAATTGTTTCTTTCCTATAGGTTTAATGAGTTACAAGTGACTCAAATGGAATAAAATTAGTAAACGTCTACTGACCTCAGTATTTATGAGTATTTATCTCAGCTGTGCATTTCACTTAAAGGTTATAAAATAAGCTAAACTTTATATGTTAAAACCAGATATCCACTGTGGAGGTAGATAGTAGTTATACCAATTTCGTTTTTACCATGTCATAAAGTCTGATATTTATGGATTCTTTAAATTAAAACTGGAAACTTTATCTAGTTAGTAGTACAAAGCTGTGCAATGGTCATGTAAATTCTTGTCCTCTGTGGTTTGTTTTTTTTGTTTTTTTTTTCTTTTCCCCTCCTGTTTCCTGGACTGCTGCAAAGAGCACTGATAGATACATTTGCATATACGTGTTAAGAGACATTAATGTTCTCACTAGCTGTGGGAAAATGAATGAAAATTTTAGGCCTGTTTTTTTTTTTTTCGCTGCTGTTACAAGCACACAAGCTTCATAAAGCTTTCAAAGTCCTCTAGGGTAAAATAGTTCCTAGGAAAAGCAAAGCAGGAAAAGATATTAAACCATATATTGATAAGGGAACAGTATCACAAACTGGATCGTCAGTCAGAATTTCCTTATTAGACATTAACAGTGTAAGACTTCAATAGTGTTTTTCATTATATATATGACATTTTGTTACAAAACATTCCCTTTGAAAACATTGAAAGGCATAGAAATAGCATAGTTTGAAAACATACGGTTTCTTTTCACCTTAACTTTCTAGTTGTGTACTTCTTAACTCCCGAAAGCTCTAATGCAAGAACAGTGAGACCAAAGAAAAAAAGACAGGATGATGACATTTCTATTGTATTGAATGGCTTTATGTGCCAATAAAGTGTAATCTGATGGGGGAATGGTGCCCTCTTCAGGGCTGTCTTGCCGAGTTCATCCCACACTGCTATGAGAAGTCTGTATAAGCTATGTTCACTATTAAGACATGCATTGAAGAGAGCACACTCTTTCTGCCTTTTTTATGTAGCTGTTGTGTCTTTAGGAGCTACTAGGATTTTCTCAATGTATTTCTTGTTCAGAATTGCTTACTAGCTCCATAGCTGTTTAGATATTAGAATCATAGAACAGTTAGGGTTGGAAAGGAACTTAATATCATCTAATTCCAGCCCCCCTGCCATGGGCAAGAACACCTCACACTAAACCATGTCACTCAAGGCTCTGTCCAACCTGGCCTTGAACACTGCCAGGAATGGAGCATTCACAGCTTCCCTGGGCAACTTATTCCAGTGCCTCACCACTCTCACGGTAAAGAACTTCTTCCTTATATCTAACCTAAACTTCCCCTGTTTAAGTTTGAACCCATTACCCTTTGTCCTATCACTATAGTTCCTAATGAAGAATCCCTCCCCATCATCCTTGTAGACCCCCTTCAGATACTGGAAAGCTGCTATGGGGTCGCCATGCAGCCTTCTCTTCTTCAGGCTGAACAGCCCCAAATTTCTCAGCCTGTCTTCATATGGGAGGTGGATGGGAGGGAGATGTTTATGATGAGAAGTTAAAGTTTATAATATGAGCTGTTTCGGTTGAAACTTGAACTCACACACTCACTTTGATCAAATGGAATTTGTGTCCCTGTACAGATGACGATTTTCTTTCTACATTTATGTTTAGAGTGGTCAGAGCTTTACGGCCAGATGTTATGTAGTGCCTTTCTAGCAGAAGATGCAAGCACCCTTATTTTGAAGTCATGCTGTGCAGTGAAGCAAGCTAACTTAATAACAGCTGTTCTACCTCTCTTCTGTATTACAGGTGCTGCTTTGCCACCACTGAAACTAGGGCATTCAGTCTGTGCCATGAAAGCAGATGAAGGTCCATGCAAAGCAATCCATATGCGCTATTACTTCAATATTCAAAGCCATGAGTGTGAAATATTTGAATATGGTGGATGCCATGGCAATGAAAACAACTTTCTAACACTGGAAGAATGTCAGAAGAAGTGTGTGGTAACAGGCCAGTACACATTATCTTATATTTGTTCTTTATTTGCATGTTATTTCTCATCCACAAGCCATCTGAATTTTGGAAGTAGAGGCCCTCTTCAGTTCCTATTAATACAGTAATGTGATGCCTTTAATTTTGTTCCCAAGTACTATACTTGGTTTTAGTTATCTGAATTACTTTACACTGTGCAAGCAAATATTCAGGATTTGGAAAAGATAAGTGTGACTTCTTTTAGTGGACCTTCTAGAGAGACCAGTGAAAGAAAGCTTATTTTCTAGCTACAGCCCTTGTTTTGAATGAGTTCTTAAATTAAAATTTATTCTAAGTCTGGGCTAAGCTGGTGGGCAGCACAGATGTCCTTTATTGCTTTCAGAGTACCTAAAATAACTTTAATCCCAGGTTTCTCCTTTACTTGAGGAACTGATAGAAGCTGTCCAAAATCTTGGGCATCTGCTATGACTCAACATAATTAGAACTACAGTAGTAAACAATTTTCACTAAAAAGTGTCAGTTATAGCTGTTTGTCATAAAAAATCTGTTTTGTTGAAAGAAGAAAATGAGATCCAAAATATGATACCCAGCAGAATATGAAGGAAGTGATTCTTGAATGTTGTCTTTTCTATAAAAAATGATCCTTGTAACTAGGGCTTTTAGCCTCATGAAAGTAACCAACTCCTGTTCCTTACAGGAATGCATGAAAGTCATAGGATTCTTACAATTGAATGTTAATGGCAGTGGATCTAGAACTTTGACAAGTTCATGTTTTTAGAGTCCAAAGGAACTTTATTGAGAGTTTCCTCTGGATACCTACCTAATATGGATCTTGCTTTCATGGGAATTAGGTAGAATGTGTCTGGCTGTCTAAACAGGAACCGATAGTGAGAGAAGTACTGAGGGGGAGCAATAGGAATAGAAAATACCAGAAGATCTCCTCAAGGGTGTATGATAACCCTAATATAGTATACCAAACATGTAGGGTTTGTTGTTGGTTTGTTGGGTTGTTGTTTTTTTTTTTTTTTCCCAAGTGAATTCATGCATTAGATGTTCATTTATTTAGACTTTGAGGTAAGAGGAAAGGTTTTTTTAAGTGTGTCCTGTGTTTAGCTGTAACAGTTGTTTTTCTCCCTCTTAGTAGCTGGTGCAGGGCTGTTTTAAAATTCAGTCTGAGAACTGTACTGATAACACACTGATGTTTTAGTTGTTGCTAAGTAATGCTTACTCTGATCAAGGACTTTTCAGTCTCATGCTCTGCCAGTGAGGAGGGGCACAGAACCAAGGAGGAAGCAGAGAAAGAACACCTGACCCAAAGTAACTAAAGGGGTATTCCGTATCACAACACTTCATGCCCAGTATATAAACTGGGGGAAGTTACCCAGAAGGCCAGATTGCTGCTTGTGTGGGGCTGCGTATTGGTCTGCAGGTGGTGAGCATTTTTGTGGTGGTATTTTACATCACTTGTGTTTATTTTTTTCCCCTGTTAGTTTTATATTCTGTCCCCTTGTTATTTTCCTTATCATTATTGGTGGTAGAAATAGTGGTTTTGTGTTACACCTTAGTTACTGGACTGTTCTTATCTCAACCCGTGGGATTCACATTCTTTCGATTCTCCCTCCCATCCCTCCGGGAACAGGAAGGGGAAGAAGAGCAGGAGAGAGCAAGCGGCTCCGAGATTGTGAGCTGCCAGCTGTACTTAAACTATGACACTGTGTTGCCACCTGAAGGGCTGTGTCTGCCATAGCTAAGATTGGTGTTTGGCTCCCCCCCCCCCCCCCCCCCCCCCCCCAGCCCTGAAAGATACCACCCCCCTTCCTTTATGCCCCTTTCCTTCTTAGTTAGCTTTAAATTGCTTCCAGTTATTTTACATTAATTAATTAATGTATTATGTCCCTATGATCAGGGACTGTAGTGACAGGACGAGGGGTAACAGGTTTAAACTTAAACAGGGGAAGTTCAGCTTAGATAGAAGGAAGAAGTTCTTTATTGTGAGGGTGGTGAGGCACTGGAACAGGTTGCCCAAAGAAATGGTAAATGCTCCATCCCTGGCAGTATTCAAGGCCAGGTTGGATGGAGCCTTGGGTGACACTATCTAGGGTGAGGTGTCCCTGCCCATGGGAGGGGGTTGGAACTAGATGATCTTAAGGTCCTTTCCAGCCCAAACCATTCTATGATTCATTCTCACTAGAAGGTACTTCTCAGTCACATATGCCTTGCCAAGCAGCAGAATACGTCATTGGGTGTTACTGAGATCAAGACAGTGATGCTGGGCAATTCTGCAGTTCAGTTTACAGGTTATTCCGTGGATGGCCAACACAATCAAATTTAAATTGTTACTCTCTCCTGCCTATTAAACATGTGCCCTGATAACACATTACTGCTATGCACATCTTGGTAGGTGTTAATTCGTTTGCCCTGTTTTTATAACTTGTGCTAGCCCTGGGCCTTTCCAGAAAACTGAAAAACTGCTGGTTCTGTAGCACTGAGTTGGTATCCAGGATATAAATTTATAACTTCTAGGATCAGCAGAGGTCACTTGCAAGCACAGCAAGTTTATGTATGTTACAAAAAATGCTTCCAGAAATTTCAAATTAGAAAATTGTTTTCAGAAGTTGCTTTTGGGGGTTTCTGATCCAAACAGACTATATATACATATAATACAAGATGATTTATAGCATCATGCTTTGTCTGTATTAAATGTATGTCTCTGCTACCCACCTCTGTCCCTTCCAGAATTCACATCTATGTAGTATTTAGATCAGGTCTTAAATATGTTACATTGTCTGTTTCATAACACATTTGTATTTTGTGAAAAAAAAATACTATGAATTGTGTCACTAGATTGTTTCTAGACATCAAAGTAAGTATCTGTCTCCCATCCCAGCGTGAAAATAATGATCGGGACTAATGTGCATATTACAAGGGCATGTAGGGATAGGATAAGGGGGAATGACTTTAAACTGACAGTAGGGAGATTCAGATTAGATATCAGGAAGAAATTCTTCCCTATACGGGTGGTGAGGCATGGGTTGCCCAGACAAGCTGTGGCTCCCCCATCCCTGGCAGTGTTCAAGGCCAGGCTGGACAGGGTTTGGAGCAAACCGGTCTAGTCAAAGGTGTCCCTGCCTGTGGCAGGGGATTGGAACTAGGTGGCCTTTAGAGTTCTTTAACTGTTCTATGATTACCCTAAGTAGTATTTTAATAATGTTGGTCATCATGCTTCTAATCCTCAGAATCTGCAGACTTTAACATATGATACCAATAAGCCAGGTGCTGTAAATAAACAATTTATTGTCTTCCCTTTTACTGACGGAAAAAGAAGGGTGGTAAGCCCACAGAAAAATTAGTGAAGCACACAGGCTGTCCTTCAGTCAGAGCAGGGAGTAAAGCTCAGGGTGTCTGGCATTTACTCGAACAGTAGATATAATAATAGAATCACAGAATCATAGAATAGTTAGGGTTGGAAAGGACCTTAAGATCATCTGTTTCCAACCCCCTGCCATGGGCAGGGACACCTCACACTAAACCATGACACCCAAGGCTCTGTCCAACCTAGCCTTGAACACCGCCAGGGATGGAGCATTCACAACTTCCCTGGGAAACCCATTCCAGTGCCTCATCATCCTTACAGTAAAGAACTTCCTCCTTATATCCAATATAAACTTCCCTTGTTTAAGTTTGAACCCATTACCCCTTTTCCTGTCACTACAGTCCCTAATGAAGAGTCCTTCCCCAGCATCCTATAATAGGTTCCCTTCAGATACTGGAAAGCTGCTATGAGGTCTCCATGCAGCCTTCTCTTCTCCAGGCTGAACAGCCCCAACTTTCTCAGCCTGTCTTCATATGGGAGGTGCTCCAGTCCCCTGATCATAACCATGGCCTTCCTCTGGACTTGTGCCAACAGTTCCATGTCCTTTTTATGTTGAGGACGCCAGAACTGCACACAGTAAGTGAGGTCTCACGAGAGCAGAGTAGAGGGGCAGGATCACCTCCTTCAACCTACTGGTTACACTCCTTTTGATGCAGCCCAGGATACGGTTGGCTTTCTTTTTTTCACACACTGCCCCTCATGTTCATTTTCTCATAAACCAATACCCCCAAGTCCTTCTCCGCAGGATTGCTCTGAATCTCTTCTCTGCCCAACCTGTAGCTGTGCCTGGGATTGCTCTGACCCAGGTGTAGGACCTTGCACTTGGCATGGTTAAACTTCATAAGGTTGGCATCAGCCCACCTCACAAGCGTGTCGAGGTCCCTCTGGATGGCATTCCTTCCCTCCATCATATCAACCAAACCACACAGCTTGGTGTCATTGGCAAACTTGCTGAGAGTTCACTCAATCCCACTGTCCATGTCACTGACAAAGATGTTGAACAAGACCAGTCCCAACACTGATCCCTGAGGGACACCACTCGTTACTGGTCTCTAGTTGGACATTGAGCCATTGACCACAGCAAGACATCTCACAAGTCATCTTTTCTGTCTGAGTGAAATATATAGCCTTGATAATATATTATACAGTCTTAATACCTATTTATAGTTCCACTGATTTTTCAAATAGTTACAAGTGTTTAAAATGAAAGGAAAAGTTACTAGTAAGTTTTCACAGGTTCTGTTTCCTTATACTATTTTTCAGCTACAGATACAGGTAGCTGATGTTTCCTTGGGTATATGAATACAAACCAATGCAACAGCAACATGTCATTGTCCAGCATAGGCTTTGCGAATATCTCAAGTCTGTAATTCAGTTCTCTGACTCAGACTTTTCTCCCTCTGTATCGAATCCAGCCACAGCAAGGGAAAGAATAAGTGACTATATACATTTATGAGACATCTCTAATTACACCAATTTCCAATAGTGTTTACAGAGTAAAGCAGGGGTGCTTTCTCAGCTGTACAAAGTGAGACAGAATAGTGTGGATGACTGGAACAAGGCCTCAATGGGACTGTATGTATAAGTAATAGCAAAATTTAACCTCAAGCGTTTTATATGAGCACAAAGTTTCACTGATTAGAAAATAGTGAAAGAACAGCTAACAGAGGAAAACCCATCCTTCCTAAGAGGTAACCCTGGTCTTGATCCCTTTGATCTTTCAAGTGAGGAGAATGGATTTTATTTACTCACTAAGTCAAGGCATTATTCCATTATACCATTCACACCTATTTTCTGATCTGCTGGCACCACCATGCCTTTCTGTTACTGTACCTGGCACTACAGACAATCCATTCAAGAAGCCAAAAACAAAACCCACAAATATGAATCTTAAATTCTAAAATGAAGCAGGTTCCAGTTATTTTTCTAATAAATTATGTTTTGCTTTCAAACAATTCAATGCTTATAGAACTACAAGATAGGAAAAGACTACAAAATTTCACTGACAACTTGTCAAAGTGAAAAAAAAACAAATTGCTGGCAATCTGATGTGATTGGCAGTGAATGGCAGCTTTTCAATGCATTTTACTCTAGGGATTAATTTGAAACTCACCTTTTAATGGCTTTTGGCAAGATCCACTAAGAAGCCTCAGAGACCAGGTGTGATCCAGGAAAGACATGGTAAGAATCTGTCACAGTCTCACCCTGTTTACAGAAGTCACATATAGTAGTATGTGTAAACGTAGTGCTAACGATACTAAAACAAGGTATACCTTGAAATTACATCCCACTGATGAAAAATGATAGGGAAATCATAATTCCTTAGTTACTAATTAACATAACCTAGCATTTCAAGTTAAAAAAAAAAAAAGACATAAAGGATCTGCCTTGAATATAAATCTCTTGCCCTAAATGCAACCACACACAAAGCTTATAATCAGTAACAGATTTCAGATTTCTTATCTCAAGGCCAATACTCTATATTTGGGTCATTTCCTTCAACCAGAATATGTCAGTTTTAGTGCTTGTTATTAGAGAAGGTAGGGATATAGTGCTTGAAGCTTAAAAGGCAGGAGTTCATGTTGCTTCCAATTTGGACTGAAGGTTGCTACCCACCAAAAACTGTGTGTTAAAGACTTACATTTAGTATTAGTTAATCATCACCCCGTAAAGGTTTATGGCTAAAGAAACTGATGTCCCTCATCTACTTAATTCAACATGGGCAGATTTTTTAATATTAAATATCATTACGTATTCTGTATGGTTATCCAGAATATGTATCTCTATCAGAATTGAATAATATTTTCATGAGCATTCAAGACAGATTAATTTTAAGGAGTTAAAAAAAGATTCAATTTTTGTCATTAATATTTTACATAGTAATTGTCTGTTTTCCTGAAAAATGGCATTTCTAAACTTAAAATTCTTCCTCTGTCATACAGCTTCCATAACTCATAACATATATCATGGATTTAACTAGTTTGTTTTTTTTTTCTCTATGGACACCCAGCTTTAAAGTTTCTTTCCATATTAAATTTTTGGCATGGAAATAAAATTTGCTGCTGAACTCCACAGTTAATACGTAAATATAAGTTTAAAAAAAGAAACGTTGGCAACATCATTCTGAGAAGAACCCTCCTTAAAAGGCATTTTCTTCTCTTCTACAGTGTTTTGTCTAGAAAATTGTGATTAATCTGTTTCTAGTTATGGCTCCATAAAATTTAGTGAATACAGTCTTTCAAGATAAAAAACCAAAAATTATTTTTCTTGATTAGCATTCAGGATCAGAGGGACCTGGTATCATGAATGTGAAGACAGCACATATTTTTCTGTCACCAGGCTGGCTGTTGGTTACTTTATAGCATTTTTGCCACTCCTGGAGTCTGCAGGACTTCAGCTGCCACTGTCTTATCCAAAACATGCTACTTCCTGGTCATTTGGAGTGTTTGTCCTGAATTCGAGCTTAAATTCCAAGACAGAGGGCAAAACTGAAAAAGGCAGGGTTGATAAATAACAGAATTTGGAATGTAAAGTATCCAAAAGTCCTGATCATGTCCCATGAGTGAAGATCTATAAAATTATTTCTTCAATCTAATGTTGCTATTTTGACTAATAATGTTATTTTGATTCTGACATATATGTTGGGACAGCATCTGGATCAGATCTTCTGGACCAAATCCTATACTGGCATATAACTGGCATGTAACTGGCATAACTCCATAGTATAAAACAGCCACTTAAAATGAGAACTGTTTTAGTGTCTACAACTTGGTACCCAGCCCAAGTACATTATTTTGTGTATGCATAATAGTACATAGATCCAGTAGTACATAGATGCAAGTATTGAATCTGTTAGAAGGAACTGGAGCAATAAAGGCTCATTATTTCTGTACTCTTTGAATGACTAACAGCAGAGAAAATGTGATGACACACAGAGTATGCTGTCAACCATCAGCCATAGAACAAAGTAAATCAATAAGTTAACCCACTTTTGCCAACACAGTTCAGTAAAAAAACATACAATTCAGTATATTTTTTGTTAAATCTGACTCTGTCTCTGCAGCTTTGTAGTGTATTCATCTTACTTAATGCTTGAAAATATAACACAGGCATGTTTCCAGAAGAAAAATCAAAAAACTGTGCTAGGATTATGCCACAGAAGGGCAGTGCAACTAATGCTAACAGCTTATTAGTCAACTGCATCATCTCTTATAACAGGAATCACAGGAGGTATATCACTATATAAAGGATAGTTAGAAACACGTACGAGTGGCGAATTAACTGCAAAACCCATTTCAGTTTTGGACTCTGAAGAGATTGTTATAGTGGAGGGAGGGGAGGAACTTTATCAAAATTATGAATTGCAGAAAAGATGGGCTACAGATGGCTCAAGTATCTTCTTTTAGTGCTTCCATAACAAGGAAGGCACAGCAGCAGCTCTACTTTCCAGCAGTAGTTGTTTTCAGTATGAGGTCTTATTAATATGTCCCTTCAGGCTGAGATGGGACACAGCTCTCCTGTATCCCCCACCCTCATCAGTTGCGCAGAGCAGCTGTATCTTGCACACAAAGCCACAGAGAGGCTGTAGGGATGTTCTTTAGGTATATGATTTAAAGGCCTTCTGGGAAACATGTCACGAGAGACTAATGCATGTCACTGAAATTCAGATTAAAATTATACTTCCCTTTGCATTCCCTTTAATTTCATGTTTCAAAGACTAGACTGTGAGTTACACTGATGCTTTATGAGCAGGTCTGTGGAAGATCTGCATCCACTGAAGCACAAAGAGCCTTCAGCAGTAAAAAGTATTTGTAATGTGTTTCTGCTACTGAACTGCTTGCTACTCTTGGCATATACTATAGCGAGTTAGTATCTTTTTAAGGGGCCCGTGGTAGCTACGTAAGATGGCTGGAGTCAAGCTTCATTAGTTTGATTGCATTTGCTTTCCAGCAGACAACTTTAAGCAAGGCACTAGCTGTACCACTCTATCCCTTTGCTCTTATGCAAGAGGTCAATGGGTAAGGGTGAGTTTTCTAGAAACTAGCATTTTATAATGCCGTTAAGAAGAGCTTCAGTGCACTGTGAAGCAGTGAAGTTTCCTAGAAGCACAGGAAGGTTTGTTTTCAATCACTGTAAACAAATACGGGGTTGAATTCAGATATCTGGCTTCCTGTGCAAGTACAATAAAACCCAGGCTCCTCCATTAAAAATGGCAGTAGCAACTTCATTAGTGCTGATCATCCACTGAAAGAACAGTGCAAACAAGATGACAGACAGAGATACTTAGCCAAATGGGCTTTAATATGACAAACAGCACTATGAAAACTTTATCCAGACACTATATGGTATAGCAAAAGGAATTAGCATGCAAAAGGTCCTTATTGCTAACTACATCAACTTCAGTTAGCAGTATCAGCAGTTGCAGCACTTTGGTTAAGTTAGTCTGCTAAAATACTCCACTTCAGAGGAGTAAGATTGCATAATACATGATTCTGTTTCCAGTAACATGAAGAGGAATTTCCCTGTACAATTCAATATTGTCATAATTTGATTCCAGTACTTTCCATATCCTCAAGTTTTCAGTATAGCAGGTGTTCCATAGAAAGGAAAAGATACTTCAGTCCTCCAGAAAAAAAAGAAGGGGAAGAGATTCTACATTCTTCCTCCTCAGTGCTCATCATTACTGTTAAGCACCCTGGGAACATAGGTGAGAATTATCAGGATTGATTTTGCTAAATACTTTAATACTTTTTTCTTTTCCTTTTTTTTTCATTTATATTTCAGAATTACTTCAGAAGAGGATGTTGACAAAAATTAAGAAAGGTAATTATGTTTACATTGTAATCTAAGGCTCTTATACAACAATAAGAGATCTAGCTTCTTTTGATAAATTCCTTATGTAAGCTATCAAAAGCAATCAAAAACTGCCATGTCAGACTAAAGTGAGTTCTTACTCCTAGCCTCCATTTGTTTCCATCGAAGACTTTGAGGACAGTTGTGGTCACTGAAGATGGTAGCTGCAATCTCTTCTCCCCCAAATATACACATCATGACACTTCAGTAAAGACAAAAGGACTCTGCAGAGATTCAAGCATTGCATAATTGGCCATGATGTGGAACTCTTATTATGTGTTTTGAGACTAATCTAAATGCTTCCTCCATTGTTAGAAAAGTAGGAAAAAACACTGTGAAAGAGAACTTTTCAAGCATTGCCTAGGTAGAAGCTAACAGAGGTTAGGACAGATCCCCTAATTACACACTAAGTCATGGAGCAAGTTTCTCATTCCTGAAGGGGCAGACTGTTTAAAGAAATTTAAATGCTAGATACCCAGAGTTCCTAAATAGCCAATGCTTAAGTACTGAAAAGAATCATTTGTCTGAAACACTGTTGGTCTGTTCAATATCCTTGTTAGGAACATAGGCTACCTTAAGTTTGACACTGAATAGAGCTTGTGAAGACTCACTCCACCCTTCCCACTTTAGAGATGTACCTGGATTGGGCCCAATGCTGGTATCCAGAGTTTCACATATACAGACTTGAATACGTTTCTTCACAAGGCAGCTCATCTTTCTCTACTTACACTTCTTCATTCCTCCTTGAATTGCTGCGCATTTACCTCCTCACAGAAATACTAGTATTTGCACATATGTTTTGAAATAGATTAACTACTTTATCTTTGTAGGATGGTCTTTGTAATACTTTCATACCGGGAGCAGGGAGGGGGGAAAAGGGGAAAGGAGTGAGCCAGCAGCTGCGTGGTTCAGAGTTACCAGCTGGGCTTAAACCATGACAGATGATTATTTTCTTGTCCTGTTTTCTACTGTCTGTCTCATTCTTAATGCGTAGAAAAAAAAAAAAAAAAAAAGAAGTAATTCCATGCTATGGAAGTTAGTACAGTTGATTTTCTACAGATGCTGCAGACATTTGGCACTCCTTTCTTTAAGGTCTGATGCTAGTTCCCTGTTTTTAAAGACAAAACAGAATATATCCCATTAAATTCAGCTCGTGGCTATCATCAACATCATTACATGTTTACTATTGTTTAGAGTAATGTAGTCATTGAGTCTCTGGAGAAAGATGTGGCATTTAAAGGGATAATACTAGTTTGTGTAGTTAGAATTAATGGTCTTCATGACCTCTTTCTCCAAAAGTGGCTATAAAAGTTAGCTGTGAGCTCAACTTATTTGGACTTAATTTCCTTTTTTCTGCAAGAGCCATTTTAACATTAGGATTTTCTAAATGAAGAACAGCTGCTTTTAAGAATCTGTCATAATCCTGTAGTCTACATACTCTTATTATTATCTAACAATATTTTTCTGTTATTTCACAATTGTATGCAATGTTTGATGAACGAATTGTTTCTGTAGCTCCTATTGTCTGTGAGCTCCTAATGGATGGTATATGGAATAGATATCACTCTGGTAGATTTTTGCCTGTTACCTGTCGGCATAGTTATCTTATTTCCATTTTCAGCCGAAAGCACATCTTATGTGCATAAGCACATCTTATGCAGCACAATAGGTGCTGCATTTGAATAGTAAGAAACATGAAATACCTGAGTTGTAGAATACATATACTCACTGGCAGAGAATGAAACTCTAGTGAAAAATCAAAATCAAGCTATTCAGGAGTGCTTAAAATAGTTGATTTTGTTACTTTATACAACAATGTTTTAATGGTTTAATTTTACATGAAATCTCTGAAATTTACATTAACTGTTCATGAAGATTTTTAACAATTGAAATACAAGATATTGACAATTATTTCTTGGAAAAACATTATGAGTTATTATAATGTTTTATATAAACATATGATGTTCATTAGCTGAATTTAATAACATTCTTATTCTAACAGGTTTTTAATAGATACTTGATGAACCAGATGTAATAGGATTAACTTCCTTGCAACTCCATAATCTACTTCAGAAATTTGCAAACTTCAATGTAATTATGCTGTAGTAATTTTTATTAAAATAACAGCACTCTGCACACTGTTTTTTTTCTCAATATTCTTTCAAGTTTCACAGGTGAGGCCTTTACATGCCATGTCTGATACAATTGTCCTATATGATGGCTAAGTACACTCCTCTCTTCAAGTCAGCTCAATCAAGAATCATACTTCAAAGTATCTGCTAGTGAGAATTACAGGATACCTCTGTAAATATTTAATTACTGTTTTCATTAATTTCTTTCAAGAATACAATTTTGATAAAAAATTGAATATGTTGAGAAATTGACATTTGGGGATTATTGTATGGCTATGTGGTTTTCTCCTCTAACAGAAGTCATTGGCTGACATTGTAGTTAGTGTGACTGCAAACAAGGAACTGGGACTGAAAAATGATCATAAGAATAGGTGCTCTGTCTCCCAGTTTCATGTAGGCAATAGACTGTACCAGACAAAATGTTAGATTTTTTTTTTTTTGCTCTTTCTTTAGAAATTTTTCCTTCTCTGTTAACACTGCTTTCTGTATAATTCACACAAACATTGACTAAAATGCCTACATAAATTACAAGAATGTGTGCGTAGATTCAAATGATCCAGCTGAGATTTACATCTCATTTCATTTCAAAGTAAAAACTAATTTTTACCTTAGAGCTTTAACGTAAGAGGACACTTAAAGGAATCATTAGCCCTTAATTTGCAAGATATAATTTACCAGCTACTTAAAAAGAGAATAAAAAGCAATAAAAATATCCCTCTAATGATCCGGCATAATAATGTACTGTTATATGTAGAACAAAAGCAGTACAATAAAGCAGCAGTTACTTTACATTTGTTCTTTAGTCCAGAGTTACAGGTTTATTTTGTAAACTTCCTCCAGTTCTACTGTTGCCTTGGAATGCATGTGGATTTTTTTCTTCCCCCACCCTGTTCATCATTCACCATTGTTTGTAGAAAAGCCCAACTTCTGCTTTCATGAGAAAGACCCTGGAATTTGCCGAGGCTATTTTTCCAGGTACTTCTATAACAAAGAGACAAAGTTATGTGAAGTATTCAAGTATGGTGGGTGCCTAGGAAACCAGAACAACTTCAAGAATTTGGAAGAATGCCAGACTACCTGCCAAGGCAACTGTAAGTTGCTGCCCTCATTAGTTTTATTCTTGTATAAACAATATTGCATGTTATACAATGGTATACAATATTGTATGTCAGGCATGTTAAAAAAGGCAACAATAGGGTACCCTGAAGTGGCCATAATTTATATTTGAAATTAACATTAATTATACATACATTTGAAATTAAAATATAAACTAAACCAACTCGTAGGTACTATTAACTGTAATTAATATTACACAACTCCTGCTTTTTTACTTAATGTAAAATTTGCCAGCTGCTTGGCTTTATAATATCATAAAATACTAATTTATTTTTTTAACACATACATCTGCATATACTCTTTCCAGACTAAGTCTTGTAGTGAAAAGAGGTGCCAGTATAGGGATTCATTATTGCTGTTGCTAGCTTCCCACCAAAGTATCATGAGAAACCTGTCCCTCACTTCTGAATGATTTGGATGTTCAACTTAGGCTACAGAGCAGCCATTCAGGCAGATCATAGATCTTCATCCACTTTATTGTCCTTCTAGTTCCTATGAATTGCAATCTGACATGATGCCTCCACATAAATTTGTATAAATACTCAAGAAGAAAGAAAGGATTACGGGCCATTGCCATAGTTTAAATACAACAAAGTTTTTACCTTAGTGATATTGAGTCATTGGTACCAATTTGGGTTGGTACCAATTATTTTCCTTTCATTTTTCTTTTAGCATATTTATTGCCAATTGTTCCAACTGAAGAGCACCCTAACACTGTGAACAGCAGTTCCCCGGTAGAAGAACCCAACCAGTTCCCTGGGATTTTTGGTAAGAATTTGCTTTTGCTGTTTATAGTTATCCTTCTTTATTGCAGATGTTCCTCGTCCATTCATTTTCCCATTTATTTGAAGATACATATGTTATTTGAAATCTGTAAGCACAGTGAAGACAGAAACATTAAAAATAACTTCATAACCATTTTTTTGTCAGTAATATGTATTTTGAAAAAGGCTTACAATTGCAAAGGTTAGAATGTCTGCTAGTTACATGAAAACAACCTTACCAACCATGTTTGATTTAAAACTTTCATTGGTAAAATTAAAGAAGAAAAAGGAATCCATCCCAAAGATACCTCATCATATGAGTTTCCTACACTTTTGGGACTCAAAGAAATGCTTGCTGCCTTTTAATGGTATTAATACTGGAATGGAGCAAAACAAATGGGTACCAATCGAAAGTTATTTTCAGAGCTTTGGTGTGTCTAGATAACCATCGCTTAAAGTTTCACATGCACCACTTTTTTTTTCCTTTTAGTAAATTTGTTGCCAACTGCACCAAATGAGAAGTCAAACACTCTGAACAGTAGTTCCCCAAAAGAGAAGCGCAACCAGTTTCCCATTTTCTTTGGTAAGAATTCGTTTTTTCAGTTGTTAGCTGTTTGTCTTTCATGTGCACGCTGGGTTGCTTTTCCATTTCCACCCATTTTCCAACATACCTGAGACTAAAGAATGGGCTTTGATCCATGTCAAGTGTTTTCATAAGCAGAGAAAACCAAAGATACATTGGTACTTAGAGATCTTACATAAATATCAGAAGGTGGAGGACTGACCAAATCTTGTGCTCTTCTGAAAGTGTGTGTTTCCTGAAGATCTGATAGATACAAAAAGAGCAAAAGCAGTGATGCAGAGTTCTTTTAGTCAATATTAATATTTTTGTGAGGATCTAACTGGAAGTTGATTTAAAGCTCCTTTAACTCATTAAAAAAAAAAAGGGACCATATTTGGATTTTGGGATATGGCACTGTATATTTATCATAATATGCTTTCATTTTCACTAAGATAATCTAAGTGAGTATGAATAAATTTTATGTCTGCTTCAAGGTATTATTTTTGCATTACGTATTATAATGCAGATGTGAACTTTACTGTAGAGTGTTAGGTTTTAAGTTTCTGCATCTGGATGCTGTCCACTATAGATGCTGGTATTTGCTCATACTGTAAAAGGTACTTGAATTTGAGGCATGTCATTTTTGATCCACAGTTATGCAAGAGGAAACAACAAACAGTTGGAAAAAGCCTGAGCATTCTTACCAAGTATTTCTGTTATTTTTTTGCATTTACACTTATTTGTACTTCTGGGGATTGAGTGATGACTTACAGACTCATTGAGGTTTTTGTGTTTCATATGATCTGTAAGATAACATTCTTGTGCTTTTTGCTTAGAATGGTGTGTCTAATAAAGCTTGAATGTGTGTTGTATTCTATTCTTTCATTTTCACTGTGATCCATGTTAACTGTTGGGTTAAGGTAAGTTTCTGTGATAGTTGGATTGTTCACTTACCACATACAAAACATCAATAAACACTGTTATTAAAATGACTAAATATAAACCAGTAAAGCTTTTGGCAACTTATTTTACTGTAAAATATTTTACTTATTTAAGGCCTGGTAATAAGTCTAGGGAAATAAGAGCATACATGTTCCCTGAAGGTTTTCACTCATAATATGCATCCTCAAAATTAATCAAGCAACAGGGCATGATTCACTGTTTTCTCAGAGGAAATTGAAGGGTTCTTGGTTGCTTCAGCAACAATGAATTTTCTGGTACAGCAGATTTTCTGAGGCAGAGATGAGGGTAAGAGAAAGAGAAGATTTGAAGGTTAGTGGAAGAAAGGGTCTGCGAACAGTGGTGAGTGGAGTCAGTGTAGCTGGATGGTCAGGTAAGGTATATGACCTTGGAAGGACCAATGCATTTCAGTGGAAAGTCTGAAGGCCCCACATGTTCTCCCCTACTATATAACCTTTGTCTGTCTTGCACTAGCTTGCCATGTGCAGCCAACTCCTGCTATTCTGTTCATCAGACTGTAGCTTTCAGGCTGCTGGGATGAGCTAAAATCTTGTGCTTTTGTGCAATCCCACTACAGAGGGAGGAAAGTATAGGGCGAAAACTGACAGGTGATTTCTCCATATAGACATGGAGCACACAGCCTCCATTCCTGGTATTAATAGAGGCAAAGGTGTAAATTGAAGTAGAGCCACCTCACACAAACATGCACTGTGACTCTCCCCTCAGTGAGAGAAGAATCTCGCTTGTGCCTCACTTTCCCACCTAAAAGTCCATTTGAATCCAACCTCTGCGGCACCCGCTCTCGGCTGTCCAGCAGCAGAGTGAGTAGAGCACGAATGTTTGGCCTCTGCTCCCACAGCCAAAGAGCCAGGACAGAAAGCTGGTGCTGGGCCTCTTCTGTAAACAGCACATAGGAGGTCAGGATGGACTGTTTGGGAGGGAGTTGCGGATGTCCATCTTCTCAAGTACAGGCAAAGTCACTGGTCTGCCACTATAACATCAATTTTGCATGCATATTGACCTGGCTATATATCTACATGATACATATACATGACCACCATTAAAAAAATTTTGCAAGAAGTTGTGTTTTATAGAATACCTGACCTCACAATTGAAATGCTATTTCATCTTGATTTCAGGAAAAAAATACATGTTATTGGTGTTATGTATAACTCTGACATCAGATTATTAGACTTAGATGTTCTTGATCTTCAGAAAATTAAACTCTTCAGTTAAACTCTTCTTTTGGCTAAACAAAACATCATTTTATTTCCTGCATATAAACATGAAACTTACAATGCTGTCTCTCAGCAATGAACTTTCTGCAGAGAGTGAAGTTGTTCTGGTCTTTGCTGCAAGATCTAAAATAACTTTTATTCTGGGAAAGTTAAGAGAAAGCGAAGCCAAGAATAACAGTTTTCATTTTTAGATTGTACAAAGTGTTCTATGGTAGGAAATTACGAGCATTATACTCTACATTTGATTTGTGAGGTCTAAGTGGGGTGCAGGATCAAAAGTCAACTCAGCAAATATAGAATGGCACGCAGAGACAGTTCAGGGCTGTATCTTTCGCTGTTATAAACTGACATGGTTCTATTTGCTATAATGGATCTGCTGTAATTTATACCTATAGAGCACTGTCAAGTGCAGGTGACTCATTGTTTCTGTAATAGTTTGTCTACTTGAAGATTCTTTTCTTTTCTCTCTGCTGCAACCAGAAATGAGATACTGAAGTCTAAATATATCGAAAATTTGTCAATTAATCTGAAGCTTCTTGAAAGTCACACACCTGTGTCTAGTGAAACAGAATACAGTGAGCATTGTTCCTCATCCAGATCATTTCAAACTTATTTTGTGCTGTGATGAATTAATAATTGTTTGTCACGCCACCACAGATAATCCTGAGAGATAATGATTAATGTTGCAAGGCAGAGTTGGGATTATTTTGATAAATGTGAGTCTATATCTGAATAGGTATGTTTCAGAGATTCAAAAGTATGATCAGGTCATCTTTTCACACCACAGAGGAGTGTACCTGGGATTCATGAAAATGCTGTACCATAAGAATTAAAGCATACATGTTTAGAGATTGTTTAGGTAGCAGTGAAGGGTCAGGTACAGAAGTCTTATAGGTAAAAACATAGCCTGCTTTTTGTCTACTTTTATTATTTCATATAACCGGTTTACCTATTTTTTTCCAGAAATGAAATATTAAATATTGCAATTTTGGTCTTATTCTCTCACCAAAACAAAATCAGTCCAAAACATCTGCAAATTCAAATAAGAAAAATAAAAAAGTAACATAAGGATAAGATAACAGAAAGATCTACACTGTATTTTGCTGTTGTAAAACCTGAAACTCATTTGAGAAACCCCTGCAGAGCTAGTTGGGGAGTTCCACTTCCCGAGCTCAGCTTAAGATGGGTTCCAAGACCTAATGTCCTTCAAAAGTTTTTGATGGAATTGGCATGTTTCTGAGGAACATTTTGTATTTCATTGTGTTGGCATTTTCCAGAAGTAAACTTCACACCTGTAAATGTTTGACTAGCTCAGCTTGGAAGCTTTCATTTGTCCTTTGCTTGTACTAATTGTAAATTCTTTTTTCCCAAGCTTGTTCATGACCTGATTCATAATGAATATATTTGGCAAATAATATATATAGCAAATCCGAATTTATGAGCTTGCTGTTGGATATTTAAACCCAGTTTCAGTTAGG